TGTTTAACATATTCACTGACGCAGTAGACGTTATTCGCGTATTTCCTTTTCCTTCACGTCAACGACATTTTGAATAACTATAAGCGTTACTTAAATCCATTAAGTAGCATAATTATTATAAATCTACCATCATTAATTGCGTCTGACGTCGAATTTATCCCAAATGCTGTGTTCCCCCTTCTATCGCGTCTGTCACCATATTACAGCGTTTTCCTACCGCAGTAGACGCATTATTTCGAATTATTAGCGCATCAGGTTCACTTAGGCAACCCCCTGCGCAGATTCGGGATGCAAAAGAAGAAGTGCATAGTTATAATCCCCATTAATTTTTTCTAAAGACAAATAAACTACTTGGAAAAAATGAGAGGTATGGGGACTGTGAATTTTCGTAATTGGGAAATAATGGACCTATATTAAGCAGCAGGGCCGTGTTACTCTCTCCTGTCTTCCTTTCGTCTAAGTAATCTGTCAACCTGGTTGGACAGACTCTTGGTTTTCTGCTGGTGTTCCCGACTGCGGTGGCCCTGTCGGTTCCGACTGCAACAGCTTTGGTCACGACTGTGATGGCGATTATGGCTGTGATGGTGGTGGTGATGATGATGACCATGGTGATGGCTTTTCTGCCGTATCGGTTGACTACGCTTCCACAGTACCATCACTCGCTCCTCCTCCTCCCCCATCTCCGCTTCCACTCTTTCACTTCCCTCTCCCTCCTCACTCTCCTGTGCCTCCGCAGATGTCTTGAACCAGTCGGCAAAGCGGCCAGCAGACTTAGGCAAGCTTAATTTTCTGTGTGATGAAGCAGAAGGTAACAAGCCACATCTACAACCGTACAGGGAGCTACGGTTGCAGGTCGGACAGGTGCTAACTTTTCTCTCCACCTCCTCCTCCTCCTCCTCTTCTTCCTCCTCTTCCTCCTCTTTTTTCACTTTTGACTCACGGTGTGAGGTTTGCTTCTGGCTTGGTTCCTTGGCGGCCAGAACTGGGGACTGAAGTGACGACGTGGACGCTATGTCAGGTCCGGGCAGCGGACCCAATTCCACTGTCACGTAGGCGTTGGTTGGTAGGCTGGCCATACTTTGGGACTGGGCCGGCTGCCG